CCATACTCATATCGAATAAAATCAACTTCAAACCTAAGTTAATCAAAAGGGATAAAGAAGGACACTATATACTATTCAAAGGAACCATCCACCAACAAGACATAACAATTATCAATATGTATGCACCAAACAATGGTGCTGCAACGTTCATAAAACAAACTCTCCTCAAGTTCAAGAGTCAAATAGACCACAACACAATAATTATGGGTGACTTCAACACACCACTCTCTCCATTGGACAGATCCACCAGACAAAAGCTGAATAAAGAAACTATAGAACTCAATAACACAATCAATAACCTACACTTAACCAACATATATAGAATATATCAACCATCATCAAGTAGATACACGTTCTTCTCAGTAGCATATGCATCCTTCTCAAAGATAGACCATATATTATGCCATAGGGCAACTCTTAGTAAATATAAAGGTGTGGAGATAATACCATACATCTTATCTGATCATAATGGAATGAAACTGGAAATCAATGATAAAAGAAGGAAGGAAAAATCCTGCATCACCTGGAAAATGAACAATATGTTACTGAATGATCAATGGGTTACAGAAGACATAAAGGAGGAAATCAAAAAATTCTTAGAGATAAATGAAAATACAGACACAACATATCGGAATCTATGGGACACAATGAAAGCAGTTTTAAGAGGGAAATTCGTTGCCTGGAGTTCATTCCTCAATAAATGAAAAAACGAACAAATAAATGAACTCACACTTCATCTCAAAGCCCTAGAAAAGGAAGAGCAAAACAACAGCAAATGTAGCAGAAGGCAAGAAATAATTAAAATCAGAGCGGAAATCAATGAAATTGAAACAAAAAAAATGATAAAACTAAAAGTTGGTTCTTCAAAAAAATAAATAAGATTGACAGACCCTTAGCCATGCTAATGAAGAGAAGAAGAGAGAGAACTCAAATTACTAACAAATGGGATGAAAAAGGCAATATCACAATGGACACTACAGAAATACAGAAGATAATTAGAAATTATTTTGAAACCCTATATTCCAATAAAATAGAAGATAGTGAAGATATCGATAAATTTCTTAAGTCATATGATTTGCCCAGATTGAGTCAGGAAGATACACACAATTTAAACAGACCAATAACAAAGGAGGAAATAGAAGAAGCCATCAAAAGACTACCAACCAAGAAAAGTCCTGGACCGGATGGATATACAGCGGAGTTTTACAAAACCTTCAAAGAAGAATTAATACGAATACTTTTCAAGCTATTTCAAGAAATAGAAAAAGAAGGAGATCTTCGAAATTCATTATATGAGGCCAACATCACCCTGATCCCGAAACCAGACAAAGACACTTCAAAGAAAGAAAACTACAGACCAATATCTCTAATGAACTTAGATGCAAAAATCCTGAATAAAATCCTGGCTAATCGAATACAAAAGCATATCAAAAAAATTGTGCACCATGATCAAGTAGGATTCATCCCTGGGATGCAAGGCTGGTTCAATATACGGAAATCAATAAATGTTATTCACCACATCCATAGACTTAACGATAAGAACCACATGATCATCTCGATAGATGCAGAAAAAGCATTCGACAAAGTACAACATCCCTTTATGTTCAAAACACTAGCAAAACTAGGGATAACAGGAACTTACCTCAACATCATAAAAACTATATATGCTAAGCCTCAGGCTAGCATCATTCTGAATGGAGAAAAACTGAAGGCATTCCCTCTAAAATCTGGAACAAGACAGGGATGTCCTCTCTCACCACTTCTATTCAATTTAGTTCTTGAAATACTAGCCAGAGCAATTAGACAGACAAAAGAAACAAAAGGCATAAAAATAGGAAAAGAAGAATTTAAATTATCACTATTTGTGGATGATATGATACTATATCTAACAGACCCAAAAAGGTCTACAAAGAAACTACTAGAGTTAATAAATGAATTCAGCAAAGTGGCAGGATATAAAATCAACACACACAAATCAAAGGCATTCCTGTATATCAGCGACAAATCTTCTGAAACGGAAATGAGGACAACCACCCCATTCACAATCTCCTCAAAAAAAAAATAAAATACTTGCGAATAAACCTAACAAAAGAGGTGAAAGATCTATACAATGAAAACTACTACAGACCCCTAAAGAGAGAAATAGAAGAAGACCTTAGAAGATGGAAAAATATACCCTGTTCATGGATAGGAAGAACTAACATCATCAAAATGGCGATATTACCCAAAGTTCTCTATAGGTTTAATGCAATGCCAATCAAAATCCCAACGGCATTTCTTGTAGAAATAGATAAAGCAATTATGAAATTCATATGGAAAAACAAAAGACCCAGAATAGCAAAAGCAATTCTAAGCAGGAAGTGTGAGTCAGGCGGTATAGCAATACCAGATTTCGAACTATACTACATAGCAATAGTAACAAAAACAGCATGGTACTGGTACCAAAACAGGCGGGTGGACCAATGGTAAAGAATAGAGGACACAGAGACCAATCCACAAAATTACAACTTTCTTATATTTGATAAAGGGGCTAAAAGTATGCAATGGAGGAAGGATAGCATCTTCAACAAATGGTGCTGGGAAAACTGGAAATCCATATGCAACAAAATGAAACTGAATCCCTTTCTCTCGCCATGCACAAAAGTTAACTCAAAATGGATCAAGGAGCTTGATATCAAATCAGAGACTCTGCGTCTGATAGAAGAAAAAGTTGGCTCCGATCTACATATTGTTTGGTCGGGCTCCAAATTCCTTAATAGGACACCCATAGCACAAGAGTTAATAACTAGAATCAACAAATGGGACTTACTCAAACTAAAAAGTTTTTTCTGAGCAAGAGAAACAATAAGAGAGGTAAATAGGGAGCCTACATCATGGGAACAAATTTTTACTCCTCACACTTCAGATAGAGCCCTAATATCCAGAGTATACAAAGAACTCAAAAAATTAAACAATAAGAAAACAAATAACCCAATCAACAAATGGGCCAAAGACCTGAACAGACACTTCTCAGAGGAGGACATACAATCAATCAACAAGTACATGAAAAAATGCTCACCATCTCTAGCAGTCAGAGAAATGCAAATCAAAACCACCCTAAGATACCATCTCACTCCAGTAAGATTGGCAGCCATTATGAAGTCAAACAACAACAAGTGCTGGCGAGGATATGGGGAAAAGGGTACACTTGTACATTGCTGGTGGGACTGCAAATTGGTGCGGCCAATTTGGAAAGCAGTATGGAGATTCCTGGGGAAGCTGGGAATGGAACCACCATTTGACCCAGCTATTGCCCTTCTCGGACTATTCCCTGAAGACCTTAAAAGAGCGTACTACAGGGATACTGCCACATCGATATTCATAGCAGCACAATTCACAATAGCTAGACTGTGGAACCAACCCAGATGCCCTTCAATAGATGAATGGATAAAAAAATGTGGCATTTATACACAATGGAGTATTACGCAGCACTAAAAAATGACAAAATCATGGAATTTGCAGGGAAATGGATGGCATTGGAGCAGATTATGCTAAGTGAAGCTAGCCAATCCCTAAAAAACAAATGCCAAATATCTTCTTTGATATAATGAGAGCAATTAAGAACAGAGCAGGGAGGAAGGGCAAGAGGAAAAGATTAACATTAAACAGTGACATGAGGTGGGAGGGAAAGGGAGAGAAAAGGGAAATTGCATGGAAATGGAAGGAGACCCTCATTGTTATACAAAATTACATATAAGAGGTTGTGAGGGGAATGGGGAAAAAAAGGAGAGAAATGAATTATAATAGATGGGGTAGAGAGAGAAAATGGGAGGGGAGGGGAGGGGGATAGTAGAGGATAGGAAAGGTAGCAGAATACAACAGTTACTAATATGGCATTATGTGAAAATGTGGATGTGTAACCGATGTGATTCTGCAATCTGTATTTGGGGTAAAAATGGGAGTTCATAACCCACTTGAATCTAATGTATGAAATATGATATGTCAAGAGCTTTGTAATGTTTTGAACAACCAATAAAAAAACAAAAATAAAATTTAAAAAAAATAATCCCATCACACTAATGCAAATTAATTACATAATATCCAAATCAGATAGGCTAAGACTCTAACTACTAGTATGCATAGATTAATCACGAAAGGACACACAAAGGCTCAACAATAAGGACCCGGAGCTCCTTTCCAAAACTGGCAAAAATATATTTTAAATACAGTTTGTTCTCACCATATTTATATTGTTTGTATCATATGCAAATATCATATACCAGGTCCTGAAACAAATCTTATTAAAAACTTGTTACAGACACAACTTTGAACCAACAAATTCGTTAAATGAGGTTTTAGGTAAGAAGTCTTCATGGCCAGATAAATTCTGTAAAATAAACTTACTTTATTCACATTTGAAAGACCACAATATTTATTAAAAATGATATGGTGAGTTCCTATATACACAAAGAAATTATCTTATAGTAGTTTAACAATTTTTAATTAAAGAAAACACTTTCTTTAATTAAGGAAGCAGGATTTAAAGATTGTTTCACCACTGGGTTTCCTCTCACAATAAAATATCTAAACGTATAACTGTTGGGAATCTCCCTGGCTCCAAAGACTAACTTCCCAATTCCCCAAGATGAGCCGTCCAATGGTGAGCCCTGCTGGTTCACAAGATCCTTACCCACCAATTAGAACGCACCCCAAGCCAGCTGCCAAAAAACCATTAAATTGTTAAACTATTTCAACTGTCAAACCACCCCCGGCTCTATAAATATGCAGAGCTGCCTCAATAAACGGGCATTTTTTCTCCGACGGCAAGCCTTGATTGTTCTTTCAATAACAAGTAATATTCTATTCCTTTATAGAAGCAAAGGCAAAAATCCAATATAAATGAAACAAAAACCCAATTCATACATGTGACTATGCAAACATAATCACGACTTCTTATTTTGGAAGCACAGAATCATCATCACTTTGGGTTATCTACAATACAAAAGAAAGGCAGAACATACCTTGATTATTGACTTTAATTTGTGTGCCATTTTAATTAGAGGGCATTTTGTGTGTTTAATTGAAAAAGCTGGTGCTAAGGCAAAAAATATTTTTATCCTTTCAGCTATCTTTGGTATTGTAGAAAATGTTATGAAAGCTGAAAGGAAATATGACATAAATTAGCAAGATATTCTGAAGCAGTTATTAGTGGCATGTAAAAATGACAGCATAAAAAGTAATAGTGGATTCAAAAATGGCCTCTGAACAATTCATTTCTTAATTCACTTTACCATTTTTTGATAATCGAGCATGTGACATTCTATTAATCACTGCTGTTTATAATCACTGCTCTAGTTATTGTTAATAACTAGAGTTTTGAAGTAATCATAAAGGATGATTATTGAATATGACAGGGGAAAAAAAGAATAATGAGGCCTGAAAGAAAGAAATAGAAAGGAAAGCCATACAACGATGACTTTCTTCTCTCCCAAGATAAATCCTTCCCAAACACTGGCCACAGGCAGGGAGAAAGTGTCTCATCCAACCTAGAAGTGGCAGTCTCTAGGAAACACTAATCTCTTTCAAGACAACTCCTCTCCAGGTGCTGTCCACTAACCCCAACTCAAGGACTCAAATTCCTGAGTGCGCAGACTCACCTGCTCACTAAATTGCCCACAACCTATATAAACCCAGTACCCTCTATTATTTGGGGTCAGTCTCATTTTCCACCAGGAAAGTGGATTCCACAGTGTCACTTCATCCCTACTTCCCCTATTCCTGTGTGAAACTTTGTTCCTGAATAAATAACCTGTGCTGATTTGTGAAGTTTGCATTTGTCCTGATATTTTTTGCTAACAATGATAATTTTGTAATAAAGCAGATTGCAACAGTATAGTTTAAAAATCTAAAACAATTATATTGAATAAAATTAGTAATATGGAACATTTGTATAACTATCTATGATGTAAGTGGAATAAGTAAAATTTTCACAGAGATGAATCTTACACTTTGGGTGAGAGACTCAATAAATGTAAAAATGTTTTAATATTTACTCCTAATAAAACTCCTTAACTTTTTTTTCCCCACTTTTTTTCTTTTACATGAAACTTTTTAGTTTTACATGACAGTAGAATGTATTTTGACCTATTAGACATACATGGAGTTTAACTTCCCATTCTTTTTTTTTATTGTTGGTTGTTCAAAACATTACATAGTTCTTGATATATCATCTTTCACACTTTGCTTCAAGTGGGTTATGAACTCCCATTTTTAGCCCATATACAGATTGCAGAATCACATCAATTATACATCCATTGATTTACATATTGCCATACTAGTGACTGTCACGTTCTGCTACCTTTCCTATCCTCTACTATCCCCCCCCTCCCCTCCCCACCCCTCTTCTCTCTCTACCCCCTCTACTGACCTTCATTTCTCCCCCTTGTATTATTTTTCCCTTTCCCCTCATTTCCTCTTGTATGTTGTTTAGTATAACGCTGAGGGTCTCCTTCCATTTCCATGCAATTTCCCTTTTCTCTCCCTTTCCCTCCCACCTCTCATCTCTGTTTAATGTTAATCTTCTTCTCATGCTCTTCATCCCTACTCTGTTCTTAGTTACTCTCCTTATATCAAAGAAGACATTTGGCATTTGTTTTTTAGGGATTGGCTAGCTTCACTTAGCATAATCTGCTCTAGTGCAATCCATTTCCCTGCAAATTCTATGATTTTGTCATTTTTTAATGTAGAGTAATACTCCATTGTGTATAAATGCCACATTTTTTTAATCCATTTGTCTATTGAAGGGCATCTGGGTTGGTTCCACAGTCTTGCTATTGTGAATTGAGCTGCTATGAACATCGATGTAGCAGTGTCCCTGTAGCATGCTCTTTTTAGGTCTTTAGGGAATAGACCAAGAAGGGGAATAGCTGGGTCAAATGGTGGCTCCATTCCCAGCTTTCCAAGAAATCTCCATACTGCTTTCCAAATTGGCTGCACCAATTTGCAGTCCCACCAGCAATGTACAAGTGTACCCTTTTCCCCACATCCTCGCCAGCACTTGTTGTTGTTTGACTTCATAATGGCTGCCAATCTTACTGGAGTGAGATGGTATCTTAGGGTGGTTTTGATTTGCATTTCTCTGACTGCTAGAGATGGTGAGCATTTTTTCATGTACTTGTTGATTGATTGTATGTCCTCCTCTGAGAAGTGTCTGTTCAGGTCCTTGGCCCATTTGTTGATTGGGTTGTTTGTTCTCTTATTGTCTAATTTTTTGAGTTCTTTGTATACTCTGGATATTAGGGCTCTATCTGAAGTGTGAGGAGTAAAGATTTGTTCCCAGGATGTAGGCTCTCTATTTACCTCTCTTATTGTTCTTTTGCTGAGAAAAAACTTTTTAGTTTGAGTAAGTCCCATTTGTTGATTCTAGTTATTAACTTTTGTGCTATGGGTGTCCTATTGAGGAATTTGGAGCCCGACCCCACAGTATGTAGATCGTAGCCAACTTTTTCTTCTATCAGAAGCCGTGTCTCTGATTTGATATCAAGCTCCTTGATCCATTTTGAATTAACTTTTGTGCATGGCGAGAGAAAGGGATTCAGTTTCATTTTGTTGCATATGGATTTCCAGTTTTCCCAGCACCATTTGTTGAAGATGCTATCCTTCCTCCATTGCATGCTTTTAGCCCCTTTATCAAATATAAGATAGTTGTAGTTTTGTGGATTGGTTTCTGTGTCCTCTATTCTGTACCATTGGTCCACCCGCCTGTTTTGGTACCAGTACCATGCTGTTTTTGTTACTATTGCTCTGTAGTATAGTTTGAAGTCTGGTATCGCTATACCGCCTGATTCACACTTCCTGCTTAGCATTGTTTTTGCTATTCTAGGTCTTTTATTTTTCCATATGAATTTCATGATTGCTTTCTCTATTTCTACAAGAAATGCCGTTGGGATTTTGATTGGCATTGCATTAAACCTATAGAGAACTTTGGGTAATATCACCATTTTGATGATGTTAGTTCTGCCTATCCATGAACAGGGTATATTTTTCCATCTTCTAAGATCTTCTTCTATTTCTCTCTTTAGGGTTCTGTAGTTTTCATTGTATAAGTCTTTCACCTCTTTTGTTAGGTTGATTCCCATATATTTTATTTTTTTTGAAGATATTGTGAATGGAGTGTTTTTCCTCATTTCCATTTCACAGGATTTGTCGCTGATATACAGGAATGCCTTTGATTTATGCGTGTTGATTTTATATCCTGCCACTTTGCTGAATTCATTTATTAGCTCTAATAGTTTCTTTGTAGACCCTTTTGGGTCTGCTAGGTATAGAATCATATCATCTGCAAATAGTGATAATTTAAGTTCTTCTTTTCCTATTTTTATGCCTTTAATTTATTTCATCTGTCTAATTGCTCTGGCCAGTGTTTCGAGAACTATGTTGAACAGAAGTGGTGAGAGAGGGCATCCCTGTCTTGTTCCAGATTTTAGAGGGAATGCCTTCAATTTTTCTCCATTCAGAATGATGCTAGCCTGAGGCTTAGCATAGATTGCTTTTACAATATTGAGGTATGTTCCTGTTATCCCTAGTTTTTCTAGAGTTTTGAACATAAAGGGATGCTGTACTTTGTCGAATGCTTTTTCCGCATCTATAGAGATGATCATATGGTTCTTATTTTTAAGTCTATTGATGTGGTGAATAACATTTATTGATTTCCGTATATTGAACCAGCCTTGCATCCCAGGGATGAATCCTACTTGATCATGGTGCACAATTTTTTTGATATGTTTTTGTATCCGATTCGCCAGAATTTTATTGAGGATTTTTGCATCTAGGTTCATTAGAGATATTGGTCTGTAGTTTTCTTTCTTTGAAGTGTCTTTGTCTGGTTTAGGTATCAGGGTGATGTTGGCCTCGTAGAATGAATTTGGAAGTTCTCCCTCTTTTTCTATTTCCTGAAGTAGCTTGAAAAGTATTGGTATTAGTTCCTCTTTAAAGGTTTTGTAAAACTCTGCTGTATACCCATCCGGTCCTGGGCTTTTCTTAGTTGGTAGTCTTTTGATGGTTTCTTCTATTTCCTTGATTGATATTGGTCTGTTTAGGTTGTCTATATCCTCCTGACTCAATCTGGGCAGATCATATGACTTCAGAAATTTATCGATGCCTTCACTATCTTCTAATTTATTGGAGTATAAGGATCCAAAATAATTTTTGATTATCTTCTGTATTTCTGAAATGTCTGTTGTGATATTGCCTTTTTCATCCCGTATGCTAGTAATTTGAGTTCTCTCTCTTCTTCTCTTCGCTAGCATGGCTAAGGGTCTGTCGATTTTGTTTATTTTTTCAAAGAACCAACTTTTAGTTTTGTCAATTTTTTCAATTGTTTCTTTTTTTTTGATTTCATTAATTTCAGCTCTGATTTTAATTATTTCTTGCCTTCTACTTCTTTTGCTGTTGTTTTGCTCTTCTTTTTCTAGGATTTTGAGATGAAGTATGAGATCATTTATTTATTGGTTTTTTCTTTTTTTAAGGAATGAACTCCAAGCAATGAATTTTCCTCTTAGAACTGCTTTCAATGTGTCCCATAGATTCCGATATGTTGTGTCTGTGTTTTCATTAATCTCTAAGAATTTTTTAATTTCTTCCTTGATGTCTTCTATAACCCATTGATCATTCAGTAACCTATTGTTCATTCTCCAAGTGATGTATGCTTTTTCCTTCCTTCTTTTATTGTTGATTTTCAGTTTCATTCCATTATGATCAGATAGGATGCATGGTATTATCTCTACTCCTTTATATTGTCTAAGAGTTGCCCTGTGACATAATATATGATCTATTTTTGAGAAGGTTCCATGTGCTGCTGAGAAAAAAGTGTAACTGCTTGATGTTGGGTGGTATATTCTATATATGTCAATTAAGTCTAGGTTATTAATTGTGTTATTGAGTTCTATAGTTTCCTTATTCAACTTTTGTTTGGAAGATCTGTCCAGTGGTGAGAGAGGTGTGTTGAAGTCTCCCATGACTATTGTATGGTGGTCTATTAGACTCTTGAACTTGAGAAGAGTTTGTTTGATGAACATAGCTGCACCATTGTTTGGGGCATATATATTTATGATTGTTATGTCTTGTTGGTGTATGGTTCCCTTAAGCAGTATGTAGTGTCCCTCTTTATCCCTTTTGATTAACTTTGGCTTGAAATCTATTTTATTTGATATGAGTATGGACACTCCTGCTTGTTTCCGAAGTCCATATGAGTGATATGATTTTTCCCAACCTTTCACCTTCAGCCTATGTATGTCTTTTCCTATCAAATGCGTCTCCTGTAGGCAGCATATTGTTGGGTCTTGTTTTGAGATCCATTCTACTAGCCTGTGTCTCTTAATTGGTGAGTTTAAGCCATTAACATTTAGGGTTATTATTGAGATATGGGTTGTTGTTCCAGCCATATTTGTTTATTTATGTTACTAAACATGGTTTGTTTTCCTCTTTGATTATTCCCCCCCCTTTACTGTCCTACCTCCCACTGTTGGTTTTCATTGTTATTTTCCATTTCCTCTTCCTGTAATGTTTTGCCGAGGATGTTTTGAAGAGATGGTTTTCTAGCTGCATATTCTTTTAACTTTTGTTTGTCGTGGAAGGTTTTAATTTCATCTTCCATCCTGAAGCTTAATTTTGCTGGATACACAATTCTTGGTTGGAACCCATTTTCTTTCAGTGTTTGAAATATGTTATTCCAGGATCTTCTAGCTTTCAGAGTCTGTGTTGAAAGATCAGCTGTTATCCTGATTGGCTTGCCCCTAAATGTAATCTGCTTCCTTTCTCTTGTAGCTTTTAAAATTCTCTCCTTATTCTGTATGTTGGGCATCTTCATTATAATGTGTCTAGGTGTGGATCTCTTATAATTTTGCACATTCGGCATCCTGTAGGCTTCTAGAATTTGGGATTCTGTCTGATTCTTCAAGTCTGGGAAGTTTTCTCGTATTATTTCATTGAATAAATTGCTCATTCCTTTGGTATGGAGTTCTATACCTTCCTGTATCCCAATGACTCTTAAGTTTGGTCTCTTTATGTTATCCCATATTTCTTGGATGTTCTGCTCATGGTTTCTTAACAGTCTTGCTGAGCTGTCTATGTTCTTTTCCAGTTGAAATACTTTGTCTTCATTGTGTGATGTTCTATCTTCTAAGTGTTCTACTCTGCTGGTAGTACTCTCAATTGAGTTTTTAAGTTGGTTTATTGCTTCCTGCATTTCTAGGATTTCTGTTTGTTTGTTTTTTATAACCTCTATCTCCCTGTATAGTTGATCCTTTGCTTCCTGGATTTGTTTGTGTAATTCCTTGTCGAAGTGATCTTTCATTGTCTGATTTTGCTGTCTAATTTCTTCCTTGATACTCCAGATCATCTGAAGCATGTATGTCCTGAATTCTTTATCTGACATTCCATCTGCTGCAGCTGTTACCTCTTCTAAAGTTGAGCTGACCTGCATTGCTTGTAGTCCTTTCTTTCCTTGTCTTTTCATACTGCTTGCGTTTCTTTCTTCTTGGTGAAACTGTTGTGTTTTTGAAATTTTTCCCCCCCTATATATTTATATTGCTCTTGTATAATTGAAAAGTCTCCCTTGCAGGTGCGGGCGGGGGCTCTGCTCTGCCCCTCCTCCAATTGGTGTGAGGTGTCTACCACGCCCGTGGACCCCTGGGCCTGATCTGCTGTTCTGTCGCAGGTCTGCCTACCTTGCAGGTGGGGGCGAAGGCTCTGCCCTGCCCCTCCTACCACGCCCGGGGACCGCTAGGCCTGATCTGCAGGTTGGTCGCAGGTCTGCCCACCTTGCGGGCACGGGTGTCAGTTCCGCTCCGCCCCCACTCCAATTGGGGTCACTTGACCACCACACAGGCGGGCCGCTGGGCCTGATCTGGGCACGGGCGAAGGCTCTGCTCTGCCCCTACTCCAGTTGGGGTGAAGTGTGTACCACGCTGGCAGGCCCCTGGGCCTGATGCGCCGGTCTGTCGCAGGTCTGCTTACCTTGCCGGCACGGGCGGTGGCTCTGCCCTGCCCCTCCTACCATGCCTGCAGACCGCTGGGCCTGATCTGCAGGTTGGTCGCAGGTCTGCCTACCTTGCAGGCGCGGACGGCGGCCCCTCTCCTCCCCTCTGGCTCAACGACAAAGCGAGAGAGACTCGGGTATCTGTGACTCACCCTCCCTACCAGGGGACCAACTGTTTCCGTCGCCGCTGGCACCGATGAAGTTTTCTCCTCAGCCGCTCTCCGATGACATCAGATCTCTGCCAAGCTGGCATCCCCTGTTCAATGGCTGAATCCCATTTTCTTCTCTTCCAATAGGCGGAGCTGTGCCCTCTGAGCCGAGCTTCTGCCCTCTATGTGCTGACAGAAATCCCTGTACGGTGGCTCCTGGGAGTCTCTCAATCCTGTTAGTCCAGAGCCCTTTCACTTATCCAGCCCCTCCCCCTGTTCCTCCTCCCAGCCAGCCAGCCAGGTCCTGTTCACCAGAGGCGGTTCCCCAAGGATCTGATCACACTTGCAGCCCCACCGCGTGTCCTATATCCCGAACGATGAACACCCTCTCTGTCATTCATCTAAGCCCCAGTGCTGTGGTGGGGTGATCTGGGAACCAACAGTTTAATTTTTCCGGACCCCTTTGGTGGGCATGCCCCCAGAAACTAGTGGCTAAGATCTTGGGTGTCGCCGCTGGTGTTAAGGGGAGGTGGGGATCTGGAATCCCCTCTGCTTCCCTACAGACACGCCCCCGGTGGTTTCCTGGCTGCTTGTATCTGGAGGGGGTGGGAGTCACACACCTGCTAATGTGGATTCCGCTGGGAAGGAATTCTGTCGGCGGAACTCTGGTGATGTCACCACTCTGCTATGGCAGGCCCCAGGCTCCTTGCCGGAGTGTCTGAAGGGAGGGGTGGGACTGGTCTGTCTCTGGTTGGTTTCAGCTCCCGGTTTGCTATTTCATGAAGACCTCTTCCTAGAGTCCCTGCACCGCTCCTGCTGCGCTGTGCCTCGGAGGCTATCCGCCCTGACGCGGGGGCCGGTGCAGGCAGCCGACAGTCGCCGAGTCGCTGCGGGAGCGGCTGGCGGGTCTGGACCTCTGCGCTGCATGGCGGAGATTCACTCGTCTAGCGCAGACTGTCACCTCCAAAAATCCTACCGATTCCCGGCCGATCTCTCTTTAGTGGAATTTTGCTAGGAGTTTCTCAGCAGGTCGAATCTAAGCGTATCCATGCGTCTCTCTGACCCCGTTGTTGCGGAGGTACTGAAAGCGCTGCCTCCCCTCTCGCCGCCATGTTGGATCCCCTCTCCTTAAGTTCTTGTATAGAGAATACTTAATATTAGTTTATATGTTATTGATTATTTCAAGTCATTGATGTGAAAATAGCAATGATATTTTTTGTCATACCAATAGTAGTGCCCTGCGAATGGCCTACATAAAATATTTCCTGTTGTCCAGTTTGTTTCACATTGAAATCAATGGAAGCTGGAAGATTATATTTAGCCATCTCATCAAAACTACAAAAAAAGAACAAGAAAAATAGCACTTTCTTCTGTCATATCAACATTTGGAGATAATGAATGGGTAAATGAATAAAGGCAATTTTCAAATCTTGTTGGGTATCATCAAGAAGATATGTGGTAAAATGTACCTACAGGATAGAGACTTTTGTGGGGATCCCAAAGTCAAGGAAATATAACCAGAGGCAGTATTATAAAGAGAATGCTTGTATATTATAAATACGGTGGACTAGACTAAACCCATGAGCTATTAAGTGGAAAAGTAGTTAAACTAAGAATGGGGTTGGTCAATAAGGTACTAAATAAGAAATAAAGGTTACTGCTGAAAAATGAGAAAAAAAAGTTCAAAATCAAACAAGCGGTCTAATTTTCAAGCTAAAATTTACATAAAATTTTATGCTCTAAGGAAAGTTCTAAGAATCATATCTATATTTTATTGTATTTCACTGAAAAGGAAATAAATATTCAGTATACTTTTTAAAAAAAATGAAAGATTACTTCATCTTCATTTTATTTGTACCTGAAAGCCCAGAACTCTTTGGAATTTGTTTTTAGGTATAGGTGTTTCCTAGACCAGGTACTTCCTCTGCTGTTCCCCATCCACACATCATAGCCAGCATCTGCCAGAATGAAACCCAGGCTGTTGGGAAGATTTGAAACCCAGGTGGTAGCAGATGTAAGTAAACCATGTTGCAAATATACGAGTCTCCGAGCTAATGAGAAAAAAGCAAAAATTTATTTTTTTTCTTTTTAAAAATGTTTTATTTATTAGTGCATTATAGTTATACATAAGAAAGTTGCTATATTGGGGAATGAACCCAGGGGCACTCTAACACTGAGCCACATAAATTTTCTTTTTAAGTTGTGTAGTTTCTACATGAAAATCTCTTACCTGAAATATATGAAGGTTTTCAAGATTTATTTTGCATAAATGCAGTAAGGTCCTCCTTTAATCCTACTAAATAGTCAGAGCTGTTTAATTTAGTTCACTAATAGATTTCTTTCAAATAACAGTTTCAACCAAGTAAATAATTAGTTGACGTCCTACTTAAATATATAAATTTTAGGAAGAGAGAATAACCAAATAACTAATAGTAATTTGAGCACTTATACACATTTTATGTAACACATACTCAAGATATTTTACATGATTTCCTGCTTTATTTTTTATAAAACAATTTTATAATAACATTTTCCACAGGAATAATCAAAATTGGTAGGTATCATTATCACTACAGGCACTGTTTTAATCACCTGAGTTCCCAGAGCCCTAATCTGTACTAACACATTTTTTTTAAATGACACCTTTTGAATAATATAGTTTTGGCTATAAGGAAGTCTCCACACTTCGGAGGCGGGAGATAACCCTATACTTTGACTAAGTGACACGAAGATAACAAAAGATCGACTCTCTTGCTTCAAGGTTAGATCACGTTTGATGCACTTCATGTTCTATACCAAGGATCCAGGTGGAAGCAAGACTCTTGCCACCACATCCTTGTTCACCCTCTTCCTTTGCTCTTTGTCTTCTGCTTCCATCATTATCTTTGTTGGTTATTTTCCCAATTCCCCTCAAAATCATGTGCATCAAATCCCAGTCATGGGCTTTAGCAAACATTACCCAAGAGTTACCATCAACAGAAATTAAGAAGCAGACCCTTAAGGATGGGATTATGGAGTTAAGTAATTAAGGATTACTTTCTGATTGATTAGCCATATGGATCACATCACTAGTTGTAGGTGCAGTATTGAAAGATCCTTGCATGTTGTAGCATTCCAGTGGCTAGAATATTCATGTATAGTGAATTGGAATAAGATCCACAAAAGGGATGATTGGCTTTTACAGAATCTCTGATAGCTGAGAAGAATAGGGAAAGTATAATTATGAGGTCTATGGGTTTGGGTGGCTGTTGCTAAGTGCCAGTGGTGTTTTGAAGACAGAAAGTAACAGGGGCAAACAATCACCAATTCAAAGCGAAGTGTGAAAATCATATGGCCTCTGAGGCTATATCCAACCACCCTTATGTCTTATGGCAAAAGGAAAACAGAGTTGAAAACCTTGGGCAGGACCTAATTGTAAGAATAGCAGAACTGCAGGAAGGTTGAATTCTCATCTTACACAGTTTTTATGGTGGTAGAGCACTCTCTCTATAGATAGATAGGTAGATAGATAGATCTATATATCTATCTATCTAATATATCTATATCTATCTATATCTATCTATCTATCTATATCTATCATATATATATATATATATATATATCCATCCCTATATTCAGGGCTGTGATAGAGCAGAAGTAGGACCCTGAAACTTGAGATGAGGGAGGGTACCTGTGAAGATCTTCATAAACTTGAATTCCATATTTCCCTGAACTCACCGGTCCAACAGAAGTGACCACTCAATTGAGGCATCTTTTTCTTCTCCCATGCTCTGTTCTGTATGTAGACACTACAGCTATGATCAGATATAGATAGGGCAGTGCTTAGGGATGAGGGCTTCGTTTAACCCCATCAAACAAGCTATGTGGGAAGATGAGGAATATAGAATGGATAGTGGAGTAGGTAATTTATAAGACTAATTATGATCTCAGTGTTTTTTCTAAGGATAGTCCATTGCTCCTTTCTATGTAGATTCCCCTCAGTCAAATAGGATTTGTCTCACCCAAAAGATTCCTCCTCCCTCTAGTGGTAGCCTTTGGCAGGCAGTGATTAACTGACAGGGAAGTGCAAAAAGCTAGCTGCTTAATCTCAATGTGGGGGCACCTCTGTAGTGCTATTCATGAGCTCCACGAACTTCTCTGAACGCCCTAGACCCTGTGGAATCACATCCTTCCTTACCTCCTTCCACCACCCTACCCTAATGTCCCTTGACAGTATTCCATTCCCTTGAGAGTAAATCATACATGTTCACTGAGAAGAAATAGAAAAGTTAAGAACTTCAGGCCTCAGTCACCAATCTATCTTCAACTGAATATTACCTGAAACATTATTATTGTTTGTCTTCCCATAAGGAATTCTATACAGGCCAAGGATATAACCATTTTTGGTTACAACATTATATTCTTCATTGGGGTAGCCCTAGTAGGAAATGATTTGGCTCTGAATAAAAAACAGCAAACCTTTTAGCAAAAAATTGTTAACTAATGGTTTAAATAGTTTGCCCTATCTAATCCATTATGTAATAAGGAATTTTGGTATTCTATCTCAACCTCAGGTCTATGTGCTTTTCTCATTAATTCAGTGATTCATTTAGGTAATATATTTATAGAATGTCTATTAAGCACCATTCTAAGCACTAGGGATTCAAAGATATATAAAACTAACCAAAAAAAAATTAAATCCCTCGTCTCAAAGAGAGTACCAGCAAGAAATACTCCACTATTTTGGAAATACTCCATTATTTTGTTTTCTAACTTCTAGTCATTCATACATTTACCTAGCTGCTCATATACAACTTAAAAGTACATGTGTATCTGTTTTCATGTCCAGGCAAATGTCTAATCTTGTATTTTAAATTTATATATATATATATATATATATATATATATATATCTCACATAAGAATGTATAGAAGAGAGAATTTTTATCTTTCATGAAGGTATTAGTATATTATATATAGTTTCATTAAAGAGACAGACTAAGGCTGAAGGTGAAACCATAAACCACAGCAGAGTAGATTTAAAATATTAGTTGACCCATATCAAAATACATAAGTTCAGAGAGATATATTTGATTATAAATCTATTAACTTAAAAACTCCAAAATTTGAAGAGTAACATTCTCTGTTACTTTAGCAGTTTAGATTTATTTCCTAACAACTTACAATATTCGTATTTGCTTCAGGGTTCACAGCTTTTTGATTTCGAAAGATACCATGAGTACTTCCAAGAATAGGGATGAAATATATCACTGTGAAAAGGCACCACATTGGGGATTTACCTATGAAAGGGAGATACGAACACTAAGATATAATACAAAATATACTCAAAATTGTAGCAAATAATATCATTTACAAAATTGCAGCAAATAATTATGTAGGTTAGAAAATATCACCAGTTTCAGATAAGAAAATTGAGGTTCTGAAGAATTAGTGCTTAAAGACATATAATGTATAATGAGCAGCAGTCAGTGTGTTAATTTCCAGCGTCTATGCTTTTCAACTATACTTGCTGTAGTATGAATTCCTGCCATGGAATCTCCATTATAATATTGTACAGCATTACTCTAATAACTTTATCATATATTGCAAGTTAACTGATGTATGAATTAGATAATATTATCCAGACTAATATTTATTTAAGTATATCTACTTGGGTTTTTTTTCTTTTATTTTGGAAGGGAGTAGGATGAAGGGGGAAGATTTGGAAACTTGGATAATTTTCATTAAATCTTCAGGGTCAGAGTCAATTTTTTTTTCCAAAAAAAAAAAAAAAAAAAAGAGCTTTGAGTCTCCGAAATTTTAGGAGGCCATAACCATTTAAATTCTTTCTAGGAAAATATAAATCATAGAGGCCACCACCCAGATTCTACTCCAAAAAGTGTGGCTCGAAGATTTCATGGACGTTGTACAACAAGCCAGACACTATGCCTGGAAGGACTTTATCCAGGAATTACAAAACTTTAAGCTTCATCACTCACTAGCTAGGTAACTTAAGGCAGGTTACTTAAGCTCTATGAGCATCATTTTTTCCTACCTATAAAATGCAAACATTACTTTTCAGAGTTGTTATAAAACTTAACTTTGATAAATGTGACATGATACTTTATAAGCAAAATATCCATTATATCAAATCACTTACTATAGCAATTCAGGAGCATAATTCACATGTACATAATTAATATATCTTCTGCATAATTTACATGTACATAATTAACATATCTTCTTATATATTTGTTAAGTTATTCTGGGGCAATATTTTCATAGCTTGGCACAAATTATATAGACCTGAAAGTTTAAAACTATTTTCAAAATCATTTTCTAAATTGAAACTTTAATTTGTGGGAACTAGATTTCTTCCCTTTGGTCCAGGTATATATTATAATTGGTATAATATCTGTGATTTTCACTGAAGACAACAAACACATTTTAAAACACTTTTACCAAGATTTTCCTCCAATGAGGAGAAAAAGCTGCTAATTTAAGTATGTAAAGAAACAATTAACATTTAGATTCACATTCTAGATATTCTTCTGGTTATGATTTTGAACAAGTGTTAGGCAGCAAGGCTACCTAACAGCCTGTCTTCACAGCCTGTCTCAATTAAATACATGGGAACAGCATGGGAAGACATATTTTCTCTTTTGTATTAGCTGATTTTATAGTTTACCACCTACCACTTGCTTCCTAGCTAAGGTTTTAAAGTACTTTGCATTATATCGAGAATGAGTGTATAGGTTATCATTCAAAACAAGACACTGTTGAAAATGAAATGATATTTTTATAATTAACTTGGGAAGACAGGCATGAAATACTGGACTTTCCATTCATATAAGCTATGACTGCTTGATATTTACCCTTATTTCCCTAAATTTTGGTAACAAAAAATACAGAAAGATGAAACTCTGACATATACTTGTTGGTATTCTTAAAAACCAACAATGGGAAATGTTTAAACTGAATGAAATTGTTAACTTTCTTGTTTGCAGTGACTTATCAAACATACAAAGCAACTATTGAAAAAGTTCACTAAAATGAAGATCTGTGCTATTCAATGTATGGCCACTGAGCACTTGAAATGCAGCTAGTGAGGAACAGAAAATTTAATTTCACTTAAATTTATTCTAATTTAAAAACTAAAGCAGAGTAAACTATTCTGTTAAACACAAATGCATTGCTTTGGTAGGACTACATTTACTTGAACTATTATATTGTATGTTATACGTTTTATTGTGTTATTATAGCACATATATAGGGCACATTGTCTTTTCCAATATTATATGTAAATACATCACCAATGTATCCAGCATCAGTAAATATTTTCAGTTTGAATGATTTTTTTTTCTATTTACAGATGTAACATTATGTGTTTGTATATTTTATGCAGACAGCAAGGATTAGAGTACAACCTATGTAAATCTGGCTGATAATTAAATTAAAATATTTATCATTATTTTATTAATTACCTTTTTCTAGTTTATCAATAAATTTAAATTAGGCACATTATGAATTACAAATGTGTGTTAAGTGTTGTTATGGTTTAGATATGAGGTGTCATATCTTGTATTACAGCCAGATTAGTAAAAAATAAATAAATAAAAATGAAACAGATTAGGAAAGACATGTTTCAGCTTTCAAAATAAATGACTATTTATCTATTCTCCCATCAATAGGCATGTGAGGTGCTTCTTCCTTTTGACTATCATGAATGATGTTGCTATCAACACAGTTATACAAATAACTGAGTTCCCTGTTTTCAAGTCTTTTGAGTATTCACTTGTTTTAGTCAGCATTTTTGCTGTTGTGACTAAAAAGACCCGATGAGAACAATTGTAGAAGAGGAAGAGTTTATTTGAGGGCTCACAGATTCAGAGGTCTCAGTCCACAGACAGTTGGCTCCATTCCTCAGGGCTCTAAGTAGGCAGGGCATCATGACAGAAGAGTGTGGCAGAGGGAAGCAGTTTACATGATGATCGGAAAGTAGAGACGCTCCATTTGCCAGATAGAAAATACATACCCCAAAGCCATGTCTCTAATGCCCCAGCTCCTCTAGCCACACCCCACCTGCCTTCAATTACCATTCAATTAATCCCATTAGGTGATTAATTCACTGATTGGGTTAAGGCTCTGGTGACCCAATAATTTCTTCTCTGTATCTTCTTGCATTGTCTCAAATGTAAGATTTTGGGGGACACCTCACATCTAAACCATAACAACACTTAAATATGGAATTGGTGGGTCATATGATTAATATTCTATCTTTAATTTTTAAAGAAAATGTTTTACTGTTTTCCATAGTAGCTGTATCATACTACTTTCTAGCCAACCATAGTCAAAGATTACAATTTTCCCACATCCTCACTGACACTTGTTATTTTCTGGGTTTTGTTGTTTTTATAATAGTCATACTAATGGATATGAAGTGGGGGTTTCATTGAGTTTTTGTCTTACATTTTTCTAATAACTAGTGATGTTTGAACACTTTTTCTTGTGCTTATTGATCATTTTTGTACCTTCTTTGGGGAAAATACTTATTCAAGATCTCTGTCTAGTTGGGTTGTTTGTATTTTGTTCTTGACTCAGGAGTTCCTTGAATATTCTATACATCAATCCCATATTAGGTATATAATTGCAAGTATATTCTCCCATTCCATAGATTGCCTTTTCATTCTTTTGATAATGTTCTTTAATGCATAAATTTTAAAATTTTTGATGAAGTCCAACTTATCTATATTTTGGTTGTTGTTGTTTGTACTTTTGGTGTCATAGAAGAAATTATTGCCAGATGAAATGACATAAAGCTTTCCCCCTGTTTTACTCTAAGAATTTTATAACTTTAGTTCTTAGATTTCAGTCTTTAATCTATTTTGGTTAATTTTTAGGACATAGTGTAAGGTGAACACCTTCACTGTTTTACATGTGGACATCCAGTTTTCCTAGAATCATGCCATACATCTAAAACACTGTCTTTTCCTCCATTGAATGATGTTGGCACCCTTGTCAAAAATCATTTGCTCATATATTCAAGGGTTTATTTCTGGGCTTTCTAGTTTATTCCATTGGTCTATATGTCTTCTTTATGCCAGTACCACACCATTTTGATTACTGTTGTTTGTTTACAAAAAAAGAATATAAAATATCCCATTAATTTTTCTAATGCTTTATATTGGATAGATTAGATATGAGTTGTTAATTAAGTTAACACAAGATATAATAGAAGTAATCACTGCTACTAAATTAAAACATTATTTTGACTTGTACACCTTGTACCTAGTGCAACAAGAAATTATTCTTTAGCTTGAGTCACTCACCATAATTTTCCATTCATGCTAGCCATCTTGTCAAACACTACTCCATGAACCAGTTATTGATGCTTTGCTTGTCTTAGGGGCAAATTTTCATAAGGTAATCAAAGATGAAAGTGGTACATAAAATGTAGTTTTATACCAGAGCACTAACATACAGGTAGCTAAAATTATAAATAGTGATTTTTGTAAAAATGATTACCTAGTTAGCAAAAGTACTTAAACACAACATGAAGATATCAAATATATGTATTGTTAATCTATAATAATAATATAATCAATCTATAATAATAATATAATTTCCTAAAAGGTGACTTGGAAATTGTTTTTCTTTAGCTTCTCCTCTTAAAATAATTAATTGGACTCTAGGTACAACATGTAACAATGAAAAATATTATGTCATACCTCTCTCTGCTATTGTGGATTTTAGATGTCCAAGGTATGTGTCTTCAAAGTAGTCATAGGTTGTATTTCTTTTAGCAAAGGTTGCTAACCAGAGTCATAGAGAAGTTTAAAAAAGAATATTGTACTGGAAGACAAAACTAAAATGAGAATATTGTGGAAAACTTTTTAATAATTTTTCAGTTGCCCATTCTATTAGGTTCTCTTTTACCTTTGCTAAAAGCAAAGAATTTAACACCAACTAAACCAGAAAGATTTGAAATTCTGTCATTGGAATAAATTGTCCCTTGTTTTAAAAATCAGAAGTTTTGCTCCCTAATTTGATGCACCATAATGAGATTAAAAATAAATCTGAGATAGGTCTTTCTTCTGTAAATTCGTTTTAAAAAGCAGTTGTAAAAGAGAAGGTGGGAAAGAATGAGCTTGACCACAAGGCCTTTTACAGACAATAATATAAAATACCATAAGCAGCCAAATATCTGGAAATTGACTTCCTCATTTAGAAAATCTTCATCTACTTACATGTACCTCAGTCTGAGGACTGCTGGTCTAATTCAGTGCTTC